TTAAATACAACCCAAATGAAAAATACTGCAGTATACATTGTTTTGAAGAGGTTGGAGGGTTTGAAATGGGTAAATTTGGGTAGTTAGCAGTTATCGAATTTACTATCAAATCAAACCTTTCTGATAATTTTGTAAATTATTTACATAACAAATTGCATCTTTAAGTTTTTAAGCAACAAAATGTTTTTAAAACTGTAACTTTGTTTTTTCCTTTATTTCTATAGTATAGTAATTTACTTTAAACTTCATATATATGTTCCCAACTTTACCCATATTTCCAGGATAATACAAACAAAAACTTCCATGAAATAATGGTACGTCTTTATTTCTATAGATATTTACTTTAAACTTGAATTGTTTCTGTCTTTATAATCACAAACATAGGTTTATATTTCGAGCATCAGTTTTTGTCTTTGAAAAATATTTAATTTAATGCACAGACATTTTAAGTACAGTTAAGTGTTTTAGTAAGCATTTACAAAATTAAACATTAAGACCAATTTGATTTATTAAATGTTTACTAATAAACACTAATTTAGTATTTACAACCCTAAGCGTATCTTTCTTTTCGTTATTTGTGTGATGTAAATATAATGGTATATACTTATTATCCATATCATCCATGGATATATATATATATAAAAAAATTTGGAGAAAATAAACGTTCATACAGTGCTAAAGTATAAATACCCAAGTACTTTCGGCGTATTATGCCTTCATCAGGGGTGTATTACATGTATAATGTGCACACAATCGAGCACAAAATCTCAATACGTGTGTACTGTATAGTATCAAAAATTGAACTGAAACACAGTCGCTAGAAAGGTGATAAAATTACATCGATTATGAATAGACCGTTATTGAATGGTCATTGTGTAGTACTTTACAAAAGAGAATATAGCCTGCGGTCATTATGGCATAAACTCGGTTAAATATATCTATAAAACTGTGTTTAAAAGAAAAAATATATATAAACTAAAAAAATAAAACTTCACATATAAGGGCGTTTTGTGTTTTTATTACTATAAGTATGATGTAAGAAAATGCAAGTTACAAACAGTATGATGTTATATGAAGTGGAAATTTACGATAAGGTGAAAGTAAAAACGAAGCGCTCAGGCAAGGGAAAAATAGCCACACCCGACACCGCCTGATGACTAAAGTTTAGGTTTTAAAGTTTGTCAAGAATGGGCGAGAATAAGTGTGTCAATTAGTCTCCTTTATTGATTCCTGATGGCTCTAGCGTATTCAGTCGGCGAATCCAGTATGTCTCGTGTGATTTCCGTGTTATATCTGACCACTTTGTGTTATGTTCAATACAACAGAGGGACACGTCTTTAAAACTGTGTCCCTCAAGGTGAAAATGTTCAGCAACTGGGAATCTGTTAAATTTTCGCGTTTTCCAGTCAGAGCGGTGTAAGTTCATTCGTCATAAACTTACACCGCTCTGACTGGAAAACGCGAAAATTTAACAGATCCCCAGTTGCTGAACATTTTCACCTTGAGGGACACAGTTTTAAAGACGTGTCCCTCTGTTGTATTGAACATAACACAAAGTGGTCAGATATAACACGGAAATCACGCGAGACATACTGGATTCGCCGACTGAATACGCTAGAGCCATCAGGAATCAATAAATGAGACTAATTGACACACTTATTCTCGCCCATTCTTGACAAACTTTAAAACCTAACTTTAGTCATCAGGCGGTGTCGGGGTGGGCTATTTTTCCCTTGCCTGAGCGCTTCGTTTTTACTTTCACCTTATCGTAAATTTCCACTTCATATAACATCATACTGTTTGTAACTTGCATTTTCTTACATCATACTTATAGTAATAAAAACACAAAACGCCCTTATATGTGAAGTTTTATTTTTTTAGTTTATATATATTTTTTTCTTTTAAACACAGTTTTATAGATATATTTAACCGAGTTTATGCCATAATGACCGCAGGCTATATTCTCTTTTGTAAAGTACTACACAATGACCATTCAATAACGGTCTATTCATAATCGATGTAATTTTATCACCTTTCTAGCGACTGTGTTTCAGTTCAATTTTTGATACTATACAGTACACACGTATTGAGATTTTGTGCTCGATTGTGTGCACATTATACATGTAATACACCCCTGATGAAGGCATAATACGCCGAAAGTACTTGGGTATTTATACTTTAGCACTGTATGAACGTTTATTTTCTCCAAATTTATTGTTTTTTTCCACGTTCTTGTATCCTTCTTTGGATCCAGTGTTTTTGAAAGGTATTTTGTAGATGCAAATATTTTTCACAAACCTATATATATATATATATATATATATATATATATATATATATATATATATATATATATATATATATATATATATATATATATATATATATATATATATATATATATATATATATATATATATATATATATATATATATATATATATATATAGGATAATAATACAAAGTATAAGCATTCAGTATAGGTTAAAGTTTATTAGAACGTATTTACAAAATTTAATTGGTCAGGCGCGGTGCAGCCACGCGACAAAATTAATTTTGTAAATACGTACTTAAAACTTTAACCGGCATAGTGTTTTAATTTTTTTTATTTAACAGTCGATCCACCAAAGGGGCTCGTCCAGTCTTGGTGCCATACAACCCCCATTCCACCCCCCTCCCCCCCACAAAAAATAAAAATATAATAAAATTGAAAATTATAATTAAAAAGCTCCAAAACAGCTTGTCTGGGGAAAACGAAAGTACACAAACCTACACAGTTTTGTTCCGCTGCCCTGGTCCCCTGTGACATTCACTGACTAATAAACAACAGTAACCAATGCAGTAAATTGATGGTTACCGTTGTCTACTGTTCTGCGAAATGTAGTCGTAGGAAACCAGGAGAGCGGAACAGTACGATGTAGGTTTTCGGTTTCGACAAAATGGCCGATCAACACAGTTATTTTGCAACTTTTAACAAATTGGAGTGTCCGAGTTTAAATGTAAGTTGTAATAGTCTACTTTTTGAAAGATAAAAATTCTTTTTTTTTTCATTCTTCAAACTGCGTGTATTAAAACATGAACACAATTTACAAGCGTCTTGTTTGTTTGATAAAATAGTTTTTAAAAAATGATGATATTATACGGGTTTTGTATACTAGTATTACTTTCGAGGAACAACGGGCACACTTTAATCGTTTGCGAATTTAAATGGTCTATGGTCTAAAATATTAAGTGGCCCCCAATACACGAGTGTGCATCTCCATAATTTGCAATTATTACTTATTTCAAGAAATCTTTCAACTCAGGCTATTTATACACATTTCATTGCAAGAAAAAATGCTTTTCGTTTGATAAAGATTACGTTTATCTTTCTAATTCTTTCAGGTATTGAATTTTTATATACATTTCATAAATATTGAGTTTCTATGTGTGTTGCTATAAATATAGCGAGAACACTCTTATTTATGATTGTTCAAATTCTATTTTTTCAATCCGCAACGTCATTTGTATTTTGTTTTTATTTATGCTTATTTTTCTAATTTCATTATCTCTTATTTTTATGGATATCTTACAAGAATATTTTTAAAGACATGGCCTTATGCCACAATTTAAATTTTGTCATGTATTGTCATTTATAGGTGGAAGCTTTTTAAGTTAACCAAGAGAGAATAAGAGAGTGTCTAAGCCTCCGGGATGACATATCCCTCGGACATGATTGGACAACCTAATATGTCATTGAAAGGCACATTATGCCTCAGAAATGAACAGTGGTTTCATTCACTTGAAACGGAAAGATGAGTGTATTACATTGGAATGATAGTTAATGGGAACGTTTGATTCTTTTAACCTAAATGTTGTAGATAGTATTTCGATTTCCATTCAAAATACTAAGTCACTCTAAAAGTTCTAATTACTAATAGACATCAGAAGCAAAAGATGGTTCAAGTAATTGACAAAATTTTAATGTGTAACTGTTTTTAAAACTACAACAGGTCATCAAATATAAAAAGCTTTTGAGAAAAAAAGCATTCCTTGCGTATAATGTGCCTTCAAATAATGTTTTAACTGATTATATGTTAATGTTAAATTTGAACCGAATTATTCATTAAATGGGTACATACAAATTTAATAAATGTTTATTGTGCATCATTTCCCCAACAAAAGTTCAATAATTATTTTTAATTGTTCATACATAGCATTGTAAAAATATGCTACTTTCGAATGTTCGATATCATCAAGTAAATGTGGTATTTACAAATGTGTTTTGTAAAGTAAATACCACTTCATTCAAAGTAATGTGAATAGTTATATGATTCAGAAATATTTTGTTATCAAAATAAAATACTACTTTTATTGATACATACATAAAAACACACAAAAAAAAAAATATGTATATGAATTTACGTAGTGATAAATAATAACATTCCTTGAATTATTATTGATTAGTTCATGATTATTTTGTTTGATCAACTTTCATTGGCTGAATCTATTTAGTATCTTTTAGATATTTAACCTTTCATTAATTATATGAAAAGTTTATTAATATTCTTCAGGTCACAAAATGGAGCTTGACAGGGTATTTTTCTATTCGTCTTGGCTAATTCAAGATAGTATCTCAGCATGAAAAAAAAAGCAAAATAGAGTCTCGGAAAGGGGTGATCCCTCGGAAGCTCCGAAACAACAATATATTATGATAATTGCAGACTAGAATGGAGTAAATAATGATATCTTAGCCCCCAGTTGAGAAAGAGGTGTTATCTAATGCTAAGTTTTGCCCTGATTGTCAAATTTATGCAACCGCAGCATCAGCTATGCAGTGGCATATAGCGATTGTGTGTGTATGCGTGCATATATGGTTGTGTGCGTGAGTGTGTGACGCGTACAATTGATTTATAATTTTACTTGACACGTAATTGTTCGGAAATGTTGATTTCCTTTCATTACATAAACAATTGAAGTTTTTTTGAATTCAGTTTATATAAAAATGTTTAACGAAAATTAATTCAAATCAAATTAGTCAATAATCGAATGCCTGTTATACCATAAATGAATATGTAAATATTAAATATCATATATGCTGATATAACAACTTACATTTATCGCTTATTTATAATATTCCTTTTCAATAATTTCCTCTTTCTTTACACAAAGTCAAACAAAATGATTAATTTAATATGACGGGTGTTACAGTTATATACTTATTTTTATCTATTGTTTCTATCATGTGACAAGCCGTTGAATACATGATACAACCGAGACGCGTGCGTGTTCTTAATTTTGGACCCCTGACTTTATTTGATACTTAATACCTTATTTATCTTATTTATCATATCTGAACCTTATGATATTAATGTTGTTTTATGGTTGAAAATATAGTTTGTTATTCATTAGTACACAATAGTTCTGGAAACAATAACGACTTTTACTTTCACTTGAATCTGAACCAAATGTACATTACATTTGATATGTTTCAATACTCAATCTATTGAGCTGTCTTTCTATTTTTCAATATACTATCTACTGGGTCTTGTAGTGTAGTACTTAGGTAACATTAAGGTAGCACTCCACAGTTAATTTCAAGTTCCTGCCGTCAATGTCCTACAAGCAATACGTCTAATATTTCTGATATCAAACTACACAACCTGGAAAAAATAAACACATTTTGTTGAGAACATATATGACATAAGATTGCAAATCTACAAAGAAATTATCCCATCTGCAATAGGCAGGCAGTCAAAAAATTTGCAATTCATTCCGTTGAAGCCCAAAATCTACAGTGGCCCGAGACCCAAAACAACACATTTCGACCCTCTGGCAAAAAATATCTGCAAATATACAGGCTAAAGGAACACCGTCTCTGCTTTAGCAACTCCCTATACATGCAAAATATCACAAAGAAACTAGTCCTCAACCTTGTAGATTTTTTGCTACTGCTAAAAGTTTGTACCCCCCTGTAAAATGACTTCTCTTTACCGTGCATGCTGTATAAAAGCAATGTTTACAAAAAATGGCGGCCTTGGCATTCATAATCAACAGCATGTGATTTCTGGCCATGTTTTCGAATTTGCCAGTGATCATATTAGATGTCACAAAAACAAATTTTATGCTGAAAATGCATTTTAAAGACAACCAGTCATTTAAATCCAGAATATTCACTATATCCAAGACATCCTGGCCATTAGAAGCTGTGGCTTACATTACTGTGGTGTGCTACCTAAAGGATCTTAATCAACAGTCAATTATCTCTATGGTATTTTCAATTGTTAGTATACGGTACACATGTACACATGATTAGTTGAAATATTAAAGGTAAACATGTCGGTATCATTTATATTTAACACAATCGTCACTTAATTTGCAATCAAATATTTTTGAAATAATTGAAAATGAAGTATTAATACTCATGACAATGCAAAAAAAAATGAAAATTATCATAATGCAACAAACAATTATATTTCATAACGCAACAAGTGAAGATGGTAAATTGGTGAATGCGATTGACAACATACATCATCGGCATACACATCTTATTACAGTTAAAGCTATTATTGTTCACCGCCTTTGCGAAGGAAAAAGAGGGATATAGAAATAGGCTCCCTCCGTATGTCCGTCCGTCACACTTTCATGTCCGGTCCATAACTATGTCATTTATGAAAGGAATCTGAAATAACTTGGCACAAATGTATGTTATAATAAGACGATGTGTCATGCGCAACAACCAGACCCCTACCTCCAGGGTCAATGTCACACTGGTTCATTCAAGGTCAATATTGTCTATTTCAGGGTATATGTTGTGTACGGCCCATAACTTCTTTATCTTTGAAGGAATTTTGTAAATACTTGCCACAATTTTTTCACAAAATTTTAAGGGCGAAAGTTTTTATGCCCCAACAACCCCGGGCCCCTTACCTTTCCAAGGTCAAGGTTTACCCCTTAGAAACAAAGATTAAAAATAGTCCCCGTTTAAAAGGGGGATATTTTGGTTTTCCGGTCAAAAAACCCTTTTTTTATAGATCAAAAGATTTTGCAAATACTTGCCACAAATAGACACTACAATAAGACAATGTGTTATGCGCAACACCCGCATCCCTACCTCATAGTTCCAGGTCTCACTAAGAGGTCAAAAATAACATGGTCTGTTTAAGGGTATATTTAATGTCCGATCTATATCTTCTTCGGGATTTTGAAATAACTTGGCACAAATAGTCACAAAAATAAGATAATATGTCAAGATCAACACCTGCATCCCTACCTCTAAGGTCAAGGTCACACTTAGAGGTCAAAGGTTAACAGATTCTGTAATATGGTGTTTTTGTGTCCGTCCATAACTTCTTCATAGATCAAGGGATTTTGAAAATACCTGGCACTTATAGTTAAAATGATAAGATAATAATGTCAGGCGCAAAACATGGGTCCCTACCTCCAAGGTCACACTTAGAGGTCAAAGATTAACATAGACTTTTATAGGGTATAGTTTATGTCCGAAATTTAACTTCTTCATAGTTCAAGGGATTTTGAAAATACTTGGCACAAATAGTAACAATAATAAGACGATATGTCATGCACAACATCTGCATCCCTACCTCCAAGGTTAAGGTCACACTAAGAGGTCAAAACTTAACATGATAGATTTTTAAATACCTCGTTTCATTTTATTTCTTAAATAAATTTATTGTTGCATTTGCAGATATAGCATCGATCATAATATTGGACTGAAAGCCCTGAGATCCATACCGCAATCTTTTGAAATAGCACAATTTTATGCTTCATATAAAACTTCCCCAAGGCGAAGGACGTTGGTAACAAAATCTTGTTATACTTGTCTCTGTTTGTTTGCTGTTATTGCTGTTGGTAGTGTTTTTTGTGTGTTATGTTTTTGCTGTAAGTCGTTGTACTTCTTTCTTGAAACCTATATGGAAGTTACTTCTGATAATAAAAGTAAAAACACAAATTGCTTCTTTTCGAAACTTTGATTATTGTGATTCCAACGAAAATTATGTTGATTTTTTCTGTGTCTTCTTTTTTGCCTTTTGTACATTACTTGTAAACGTGACATTTTATGACAATTGCTATGTCCTTCGGTACAGAAACCCTTCACCGATATAACTGATATTAATGTTGACTTTACCCTATATAATTATCTCTAGTTTATGAGATAAATTGTCACATATATAACGTTCAAACAGTGTTTACCACAAACATACAGAGTGTTGAATTAAAATAGTTATTATGAAGGAATATTGCGAGAGAGGGGTAGTTGTATTCACTAGTCCATTGAACAAGTATTGAACAAAAATTCCAACACTCGATATATATCTTTATCTAAAACAGATGTAAACAATAAGCATTTGTAATTAGAAATTATATTATTTCCCTTCCATACCCCCTTTTTGTATAACCGAGCCAGACAGGTAATATACACATCAAATATCCCCTTTGAATACCCCACGTGGTAACCAACATGCGCTGTGACGATGCGCGAACGGTCTGATGAATTCCTTTTCCGTTGAAGGGGTACCCTAAAGAGTGCTTATTTCGATGTTCCTTTTGAAACAGCAATGATTTATTTTAAAATTGTCTTACTCGGCAGGGGATGGGTAATATAATTATTATTATGGTTTTGGAGTTTTATGTGGATATATCATCTGCCGAGATAAAACATCACCCGAGCTGGTTTTAAACTCTTGGCAGGTATATCCAGATATATCACTCCAATACCAAAATAACATATATTACTGCTCTTAAGTAGCGTCTTAAAAAAGCGCTACTAAGATAAGTTTGCATTGTTATAAATTCGTTATAATGATTCTTGACACGTTATATGGCCATATGCAAACGGATATTTGCAATATAACCCTTGCCGAACGGCTCGAGTTATGTATACAAACAACCGTTTATATAGAACAATATAACCTGCCAAACATCTTTATAACAAATATTTTTTTTTATTATAATACTGCACGTTTGCAACGTCGCTTTTCATTGGTTAATCGTGGCGTTTATATTATTAGTTATAAAAAATGTTGACAGGTAAAATTGCCCTATATATAAACGGTTTTTTGGAAATATAACCCGAGCCGCTAGGCGAGGGTAATATTGCAAACAACCGTTTATATACGGTCATATAACCTGTCAGGAATATTTATAACGAATTTATAATACTGCAAACATCTTTTTAAGGGAATACAGTGAGATTTTTAACGTCGCTTTTCATTGGATAATCGTGACGTTTATATAGTTTTATATAAACGGCTGTTGTCGATTCATGAAGAAATCTTACTTTTTTCTTCTAAAAAATGATTTTTGCTATATTATAAATTCGTTATAAAGATTTTGACAGGTTATATGGCCATATATAAACGGCTTTTTTAATATAACCGTTTATATAGGGCCATATAACCTGTCAACGATCTTTACAACTAATAGAATACACGGCTGTTGTCGATTCATTAAGAAATCTTACTTCTTCCTCTAAAAATGATGTTTGCAGAATTATAAATTCGTTATAAAGATTGTTGACAGGTTATATGGCCGTATATAAACGGCTGTTTGCAATCTAGCCCTCGCTATATTTACAAACAGCCGTTTATATAGGGCCATATAATCTGTCAACAATTTTTATAACTTATATTATAATACTGCACGTTTGTAACGTCATTTTTCATTGGATAATCGTGACGTTTATATAGATTTATATACACGGATGCTGTCGATTCATGAATAACTCTTACTTTTTTCTCTAAAAATGATGTTTGCTGTATTATAAATTCGTTATAAAGATTGTTGACAGGTTATATGGCCGTATATAAACGGCTGTTTGCAATATAACCCTCGCCTTACGGCTCGGGTTATATTTACAAATAGCCGTTTATATAGGGCCATATAACCTGTCAACGACCTTTATAACTAATAATATACACGGATGCTGTCAATATGTAAAATATCCTTTTTCGTCTAAAATGGAAGTTTGCTGTATTTTAAATTCGTTATAAAACTACCTGACAGTCAAATGACAATATATAAACGTTTGCTTGCAATATTTCCAAAAAAACGTTATATACAATAATGTATAGGGCCATATAACCTGTCAAAAATCTTTATAAATAATATTATATATAGTAAATATCAAGTCAAATACCGAGGCAAATTATCGAACGTTTATTTTCTTCTAATATATGCTGCAAATCTGAACTCATTCTCAATGTCGTAACAGAAACATGCATGTTGTTGAACTGAACTGTTTTAATCACATTCTCACAGTAACGGATTTTTAATTTCAAGAGGTACAAATGAATATTTGGTTTAGATAATTCAAAATTCAATTCTGCAATAATTTTGTTTGATCGCTATGTATGTTTTTATCATCATCAAATTTGTGAGGCCATTTTAGATAAATTATATTCAAGGAGAGGAAAAAGAGGCTTTCCTTGAAATGAAAACAATCAGAGGAAAGCGAAGGGTGGCTTGTTTTAAATTCTTTGTTCCTTTGTTAAGGTGACTGAATACAAATACAAATAGGTACAATCATTTTGAATGTAATGTGATTAAATCGTTCGATTGGCGCACTAATTTCAGAACCAAACTAACGATCATTTGGAAATATAAAAAAATTAGCTATGAACTTTTATCAAACTTATTGATAAACATTTGAATAATTTGACTAGATACAGTTATGAATACAGTCGTCAGGTTTATTTTAACACGAAATTACATCTTCATATGTTTTTACTTCATCGTTACTGTTATTTTATATGATACAATTATTTTAAAGCTACATAAATTTATATATCATATACAGTCAAACGTGTATTAAGCGACTGCGCAAAGAAAACACCAGAAATGATCGTAATTATTACACATCCATAACATAATTAGCTGCTCAAATATTAAAAAAACGACTTTCTTCCATTACGTAGTACCTGTTTGACACTTTATTGTTAAGCTCCTCCATTGCTTTGCCTTGCCCCTGACACTAAAATTCACATAAGAGTAGGTACTTTCTGTTGTGTCTTTTTCAATTGAAATAAACATTCTATATCTTATTGAACGATTAATTAATTCTCTTAACTGCTGATCAAGTTCAATGTCAATATAAAGCCGTCTAAATATCAACAGGGAACCGTACACGCCATCAGAGACGGGGCGGAACGTTGCTTTGGTCAATCGATTTTGTTGGATAATACGCATCACAGGTGAACTTAACTTGAGTTGTTTCGTATGTCTTTATTTATATTTTAGATTCGTTTCGTCAATTGTTTTACATTTTACGTGATTAAACCTTGAAACACAAAAATGCATTTTTTGACATATTATGTCGCTACATTGACATTACATTTAGATATTGTGCGCAATTATTCATAACTGAATGCTCATTTTTATTTTGACCGTTTTCTATATTTGACCATGTATATTTATCAAATATTTGTAGACAGAAATGTTTAGGAACGCCGGTGGTTCTACTCTGATGGCCGCTCGTGTCTGAAATAATGTAAGAATGGGAAAAAACAAAATATGTACGTTTATTTATGTACGGCGTATTACTACCTTCCAAATCGTAGACTATTTCACAATTATTCCCAACGAAGGAAACAAGAAGTATATAGCATTTGACTTTTTGGGGGGAGGGCAATATTAACGTTACACAATACAATGAATCTTATATTTACTTTATATCACCAACATTATGACAAATATTTCATTTTAAACAAAAGCAGACTACCTTATCTATAAACGAGTAAAGCTATATATACTATTGATATGTTTACATTTAGATTACTAGGTCAAAATTCATTTCTGCGTCATTCACTCGGATTGTTATATAAAGACAAACAACGAAAGCAATTATTTTTTTTTTTATTTAAAATGTTTGCCTCTTTATTTATTTTTAGAAGATTATTATATATAAAGGTAATATAAAGGTACGTGTAGTAAAATAAGTACTATGTTAACGATTGTTTCAGCTACATATTTGTTTACATTGTCAACACGTCGATATCTTCCCGCTTTATCTAAACTACCCCAACCGACATTGATATGTGGTCTTTATCAAACACTTGACACTGATATCTTATCTCTGATGTGTGCCCTAATTACATAGTTCTATATTCTAACATTGTTCAAAGTCTTATTATTATATGACAAAATGTCGCCAATCAATGGCATATTTAACAGCAATGAATATAAATCGATTTACATGTAAAGTGCCCGATTTTATTTAGATGACATTGTGATTTGTTTCATACACTTTTTTTCCGGTCGGAGACCGGTCTGTTTGCAGTTTGACTTCCTGTAAAATTACAGGAAAGAACTGAATATAAGAAGAGTTTTCATTTGTCAATTTAAAATTACGAAATGAAAACTGTCAATCTCATTGGCCATTCTGAAATAAAATGTAAAGGATGGTTATTGTCATTATGAAATAAAATGTAAAGGATAGTTATATAATAAATTGCACAGACACTTGAGGTGTGGAGCTTAAAACACGTTTAAAATCGAATTAAAACGTATACTTGTCAAACCCAGCACATGCATAGATCATAATTTATTAAAATCATATTTCAACGTCTATAATAATACACAAGATAACAAGAAACATGGCAATGCCATGAAACCAGGTTTTCAGTTATCACCATTGAAGATAAATATGTTGTATTTGAAATACAAATACAAGCAACAAACAATGTAACTACATATATGTGCACTGTAAAACATGAATAATGTAGGAGGATTGCCACAGAAGAAGTGTTCACTATATATTATGTACAAGGAAAAAAAGGGCCATAATTAGGTCTAATATTATCAAATCACAAAACCCCGACAATATGTGCCAGGGCACTTGATAACAAAGCTTCTGAGAAAGTTTGGTCAAAATCCGTTGAGAAATGTAGGAGGAGTTCAGCACAGAAGAAATTGTTCACTATATATTCTATATAGAGAAGAAAAACAAAGGGCCATAATAAGGTCAAATATTATCCAATCGCAAAACCCCAACAACATGCCCCAGGGCCTTTGATGACAAAGCTTCTGTGAAAGTTTGGTCAAAATCTGTTGAGAAATGTAGAAGGAGTTGTTTACGAACCGACATACCTAAATCAAATAACCAGTTTTTTCCTTCGGAAAACCTGGTTAAAAATGTTCACCGGAAAAAATTCGCACACCTACCATCAACATCACCATGTATTTTATTCCATTTCCAATATTTCCACATAATCCTTTGGTCCATCAATACAGAAGATATAATTCTTCACGATGATGGTCAAATTTAAACTTCAACGTTAATATAAACAACGCAACAGCCGAAATTAACATCACGATTAACTCCGTTTTACTCCATTTACAAACTCTTCCGACAAAGTCAACGTGGCTCCAAGCGTTGCCGTGTGCAAAATGCGCTGCGCTTTGGAGATGGGAACCAGTCGGCTATGTGCGGAGCCATTCGTTTATATGTTGGCTCCCATAATTCAAAGCGGGGCGTATTTGTCTACCGTGAAATTATCAAGTTCATAACTATACACATATATACAGAATATTATGTTGTAGTAGTTTTCCGAGGCTTATGTACAGACTCAATCAAACCGAGTCTGCAATTCTCTCGTAATTTTGTTGTGATTAATGTTTCCGAGGGATCACTTTGTTTCCAGATTTTTGTATTTTTGCTAGCAGCGTAAGATAATCGATATCTCGTGAGGCCGTTGATAGAGGAGGGTATCTATTTTTCCATGCTGCGAGTAACAAAATACATGGCCTAAAAAGCTTCTACAACATAATTATCAGCTTTACGTTACAAAATAGGTGAATTAGTTATTTTAGAAACTCGCCGCTTGAAAAATTCACGAATGATGGATGAATACGTAGCAAAGGAGACCACACCTCAAATAGTTTCGGTTCCCGTTTCCAACATCTATGTTATACATATCTAAGATTGGAACCAACGTGAAAAATAGTCCAACGCTCGTATTTATAGTATCGTATTTGTCTGTAAAATTATACGAATTTCATATCCGTTCAAGCGTATTCGAGCTATAAAATTTGCAATGTAATAAATTGCCGGATATTACAGACAATTTAAAGGAAGTAATGTAGCCTTAACACGTTTTTTTACATCTTACATATTTTACTGGATACTTTAAATAGTGCAGGAAAGGATTACGAAATATACTCAGAGATAAATTGAAAATAAACTGAGTTTTTTCCTCTCATAGCCTTCTTATCCTACAATTATTAGGTAAAACGAAAAACTTAATTTATAATAAAGAAAGCACAAAAATGTAGAAATAGATAAGTTGGAATAACCCTGCAACAGAATCAGCATTTAGCTATCAAGGTTCATGACGCGGAATGAAATGAAATAGCTATTCCTGATACAGAAGGATATTTATGCGGCAGCCAAATTTATAACCAATGACAAAATAATATGGTTTAGACTGACATTGCTAAACTCATAATGGCAGTACTGGACGGATATTTTGGTTGTGAATGATGTTAAGACAATTTTTCTAATTTAAAAGATTAGCCTGGCTGCGTCTAAAATGCATTTATGACTAATAACTTACTTGGTTGTATGCAATTGATATAGATTTCTTATCAATGACAAATTCTCTGGCTCACCAGTTACGCAACTTTAAAAAATGACGGAATAATGGGAAATCTTAAGGGGAAATTTTTCTATTCTCTTTATCTTAAATTAAAACTTAAATTACTCATGTAAAATACCTATTTATTTAAAAAGAAACTTTCTCATTAAATTTGATATTTGGAAAACCTGATAATTACTATACAGTCTCTTTTGAAATGTAAAATAATCAACTTTTGAATGCACACAGAAAAATCTGTTACGTTTACTTTAATCAGGTTATCACTGTATGATTATGTAGTGTCATTACAAAACTGGCAGTTTATATAAGGATTGACTAAATTAAGTCGGTAAGTTACAGGGAATGCAGCTTTGCGTGCCAAGCATAGTTTATACATTCCCTTATTCAACTTAGACATAATCAGGAAGAATTTCCTAGAGTTCAATGAACTTCTGCATTAAAGTATTTTGCCCAAAGATGAGCATAGTATATCTTTAATGTGTTTTTCGTGGTGTGATAACTAAAGTCATGTTCTTTGTTTACATTGAAAAATATTTTAAAATTCTAACTTTTAAAGTTTTACTCTAATTTTATAACTTTACATCAGTGCTGAACTGAAGATGGAATACATAAGATTAACTTTATTCATCATCTCTGTCACCATAAGAACTAGTGACATTGTTTTTAGTGAAAATTTCGACATTGAACTGTACCCCACCCACTTTTTTACGAAGGCATCGGAACTTTCCATTTGATTTGGACAACATGTTTATTATCAGACTTTTGTGACTTCATATACCAGTGTTTCTAAGAAGACTACACACATTTCAGGTATAAATAAAACCAGGTCCACTGCCCAGGTGTTGCTTTTGCCCTGTGGTGATGTACATCCATGCCCAGGCCCCGTTCACAGTGACAATAGTTATTAATCTTCTACAAGTACCAGTCACAATTTTCAAGTAAAGCGTGGCTTACACTTTATTCATCTGAACACTCGAAGTCTTATACCGAAATTGGAAGAAATTTGTTTACTTGCCAGGAAACATAACCCAGCTGGCATTTTTTTATCTGAAACTTTGCTGGATTCATCTGTGCCAGACTCTGAAATTCATATTCCTAATTATATTGTTCAACGAAAAGATAGGAAGGATGGACGGGGAGGCGGTGTTTGTGCGTATATCCGTAATTACATAGCGTTTAACCCCCGGCATGACCTGGACCACTCGGATCTGGAGACTACTTGGGTCGATATCCTTCTGCCCAAAACGAAACCTATACTTTGCGGAGTCGTCTATAGACCGCCAAAACAGCTGAACTTTTACAATGTTTTAGAATCACTTTGTCATTCGTGTGACGATTTTCTTACGCGAGAATCTTTAATTTTCGGTGACTTCAATACCAACTTTTGTGGTGATAAATGCCCACTTCTTAACAGTTTAACATCTTTCTGTGAACTTTTCAATTTTACACAGTTGATCAAAGATCCTACAAGAATCTCGAACTCTTCATCTACAACAATTGATCTTATTCTTGTTTCAGACAAAGATAAAATTTCAAATTGTGGAGTTGTTGATATTTCTGTGAGTGACCATTCCATGATTTTCTGTACTCGGAAAATAACACGTTCTTCTATTGGGAAACATAATACTGTAAAAATAAGATCTCAAAAAAATTACAACAGAGAAGACTTTCAACAATCCTTATTATCATCAGATTGGAGTTCTGTAATACTCAGTGACAATGTTAATGAAGCTTGGCTTAGTTTTAAACATATTTTTTTATCTGTGTTAAATAAAAGTGCACCTGTAAAGGAAATTGGAATCAAACAACGGACAGAACCGTGGATGAGTGATGACATTTTGCAAACTATAAGTGCCAGAGACAAAGCTTTTAACTTGTATAAAAACAATAAAACGTTAGATCATTATAAAAGTTTTACAGAGCTTAGAAATAATACGCAGTCTCTAATTCACAATGCCAAGAAAAACTATTTTAAAGACAGTATTGAAAACAATAAATCTGACTCCAAATCTCTTTGGAAATCTTTAAAAAAGCTTGGTTTACCATCGAAAAAAGGTATTAGTTCTTCTAGTAACATTGGTTTAAAAATAAATGGAGAAATCTGCTTTGATTTTTTAAATGTTGCTGAAAAATTTAACAGTTTTTATACTACTGTTGCTGAAAAAATTAGTTGAAAAATTACCAAGAAGTTGTTTTTAATATGATAAATCTTTTGTAAGACAATTTTATGTGTCTAAAGGTATTTTTCCAGATAGCTTTTCATTTTCAATTGTTTCAGAGAACAAAATTCTAAATTACCTTAATAGGCTCAGTGCTAATAAGGCCACTGGGTTAGATGGTATCCCCAGTAGGTTCTTAAGGGACAGTGCAACAGTTATAGCATGTCCATTGACTCATATAGTCAATCTCTCCATTATTCAGGGTTTTGTTCCCGATGATCTTAAGAATGCACGGGTTATCCCTCTTTATAAGAAAAGTGATAAAAGTCGGTAATTATCGGCCAGTGTCTATTTTGTGTGTTTTTTCGAAAAATTTTGAAAGGGCCATATATGATCAAATGGAAGGGTATTTGAGTAAGAACAAGATTTTATACAGTTTTCAGTCCGGTTTTAGACGCAGTTTTTCTACAGACACGTGTCTTATCCATTTATCTGATTTTGTAAAATTTCAAATGGATAAAGGTAACATGGTGGGAATGGTTCTCCTTGATTTGCAGAAAGCGTTTGACACGGTCAATCATAGTATTTTATTAATGAAACTGAATGCAATTGGCCTCAGTTCTGATGCTGTCCGATTGTTTCAATCTTATCTTTCAGATAGGCAACAGTTAGTTCAGGTATCTGGTGTTTATTCCAGCCAGGCTCACGTCACTTGTGGGGTACCCCAAGGATCAAATTTGGGCCCCCTTCTATTTTTAATTTATGTTAATGATATGTCGGCTGTTGTCAGAAACAAACTTGTATTGTATGCCGACGACTCTGGGATTCTTGTGTGTGGTAAACGTACTTCCGACATTGAATCTCTTTTATCACTTGAGATGGAGTATGTTAGTGAATGGCTTGTCGATAACAAGCTTTCACTTCATCTTGGCAAAACAGAATCTATTCTGTTTGGTTCAAAACCAAGGTTAAGGTCAAAAGGCAATTTAAATATTTCATGTAATGGTATAAATATCCAGGCTACCAGCTCAGTTAAATATCTCGGTGCAACTTTGGACCAGAACCTTTCCTGTGAAGAAATTGCACGGTCAGTGGTTACGAAAGCAAATGCCCGGCTGAAATACTTGTATAGGAAAAGTCAATTCTTGGATCTCCACACTAGGAAACTCTTGGTCATGTCCTTAATTCAATGCCATTTTGATTATGTTTGTTCTTTTTGGTACCAAAGTTTGACTCAGTATTGGAAGAAAAGGCTCCAAACAACCCAGAATAAATTGGTTCGTTTTGTTTTGAATAAGGATAGCAGGTCACATGTTGGGCCAGAGCAATTTAAAGTTCTTAACTGGTTACCGTTCTCCAAAAGAGTTGATCAGATAACTCTTTGCCATGTCCATAAAATAAAGTCTGACACAGCCCCAAAATACCTTAAGGAGCATTTTGTACCCCTTAATCAGGTCCATGACCGCTGTACCAGGTCTAGAGTGTCTGCACTTTCAACATCAGATTCCTGTGTAAGCTATTCTTTTAGTGACACAGGACGATTTTCTTTACCAAACGTAGGAAGCTTTGGTAGAAAATCTTTTGCTTTTAATGGTATTTCACTATGGAACGGCCTTCCTCAAAATCTTAGAGATATTCAATCTTCCCACACCTTCAAGCATGCCATCAAAGCCCATTTAATGGCCAGTTAATTTTAGTTTATTTTTCAATAGTATTTGAATCTTTTA